TTATTACGTCATAGTGATAGGACTTACAACACATAGGGAAATCACCTCAGATTACAAAATGGTAGACAATCATACAATACTGGGAATCATGACCTAGCCAAGTTGACAGATATTTTTGGGGGGAACAATTCAATCTATGGCACTAAGTAAGCCCACACAGCTAGAAAGTGGCAGTGCTGAGACTTGAATTTGGATCTGTCTAACTCCAGAAGCAGGCTCTCAATCACCGCTCCTCCTCAGGCTCTCACATCTACCTCAGGCCTCCTGCTTCTCTGACTTTCCTGCCTTGGTCCCTTCCACTGTCTCTTCTCCCTCTACCAGCACCTCAAATGGCCCTACATCTATGTCATTGTCTCAGACCTCTCTCCTAAGCTCCAAACATTCAGCTCCCTCTTGGTCTTCCTCACCTGGATCCCTATCTTTCTGCTTTTGCATGGCTGTTTCTAAGGATCACAGGGACCTAAAGTGATCATCTACTCTTCCCTGAAAACCTGCTCTCCTGATTATAGCACCTCTTCCTCTTTGTTCTTTCATTTATTCATTCAAGTATTTATGAGTACCTGTGAGGTATAGGGTCACTATGAGTCAGAATCGACTCGACAGCAACCAATTTGTTTTTTTTTTTTTTTTGGTTTATGAGGTGTCTGGTGATCTGTTCCTATAAAAATTACATCCTAGAAAACCCCGTGGGGCAGTGGTACTTTGTCGCATGGGGTCGCTATGAGTCCGAATCGACTCGACGGCACCTAACAACAACAGTATGAGGTGCCAAGGACTATTCCAGGCACCAAGAGTACCCAGAACACCAAGACCAAGTCGCCATGTTTATCCTAGTGGTGGAGAGAGACACAGACAGATAAATACAGACTATCAGGTAGGGATAAGTGCTGTGAAGAAAACAAACATTCGATAAGGGGTTGGAGAGTGACAGGGTGTTTAGATGGGCTGGCCAGGAGAAGTCTCCCTGAGGGGCAGACATATGAGCAGAGCCAGGAGGGAAGCGGTCAACAGCACCCCCGTCCATGCAGCTGTCTAGACAGAAATGTTGTGGTCATTGTCAACTCCGCCCTCTTGCTCACCTCACATTCATCTGCTCATCAAGTCGCGTCTCTTACCCATTTCCTCCACTGTTCCTGCTTGGGTCCAGGACCTGACATCTCTCAGCTGGGCTATTGCACCTGATTTTGGTCTTTCTCCTCTATGCCGGGTCTCATCTTTTGCCAGAATAATCTGTTAATGTCTCCCACTTGCCGAAAAATTCCTCACTGCCTATCCACTTCCTACAGGCACAAGTTCCTGATCGTTAGCAGAGAATTCCAAGTCCCTGGTGCCATCTTCTGATGATCTTGTCTCCTGCCACGCGCCCTGCTGAACATATCATGTGCTTCCCCACCTTTCTGCTTTTGCATCGCTGTTTGTCTCAAGAAAAATATTTCTCACGCTCCAACCCCCAAATTCCTATACATCCTTCCGAACCAAATTTCATTAACCTTCCTCTGGGAAGCCCTCCCCAACTCCACAGTTAGAATCGGTCACTTTCATCCATCTTCCAGTTTTTCTTTGGGTATGCTTCTTTTATGGTATTTATAATACTGCTGTGAGTATCTGGCTTTCATTCATTCGATAAATATTTGTCAAGTACCCACTGTATACCAGGCCCACTCTAGGTGTTCCAGACACGGCTACAAATAGTTGAACAAGGTTTCAGTTCTCATGGAGGAGGTTACATTCTATTCCAATATCTGCCTCCTCCACTAGGCTGGGTCCATGTCTTCAATGCGGTTAAAAAACCCCACTATACGTCTAATATGTAGGAAATCACAGTGGGAGAGAGAGATGGATGAGATGGAGGAGACGGCTCCTCCCTGCCTGGGATCTCTCACGCCAAGCACAGAACCTGATCCATGGTAGGGAGTTGTTATGGATTGAATTGTGTTCCCCCAAAATGTGTGTCAACTTGGCTAGGCCAAGATTCCCAGTATTGGGTAACTGTCCACCACTTTGTCATCTGATGTGATTTTCCTATGTGTTGTAAATCCTACCTCTATGATGTTAATGAGGTAGGATTAGAGGCAGTTATGTTAATGAGGCAGGACTCAATCTACAAGATTAGATTGTGTCTGGAGTTAATCTCTTTTGAGATGTAAAAGAGAGAATTGAACAGAGAGACAGGGGATCTCCTATCACCAAGAAAACAGTGCAGGGAGCAGAGGGTGTCATTTGGAGCCAGGGTTCTTGGACTAAGAAGCTCCTAGTCCAGGGGAAGATTGAAGACAAGGACCTTTCCCCAGAACCGACAGAGAGACAAAGTCTTCCCTTAGAGCTGGTGCCCTAGATTTGGACTTCTAGCCTCCTAAATTGTGAGAGAATAAATTTCTGTTTGTTAAAGCTGTCCACTTGTGGCAGTTCTGTCATAGCAGCACTAGATAACTAAGACAGGAGTCAACAAACATTTCTGGATGAAGAGGTTAGCTTCAGTGGAAATTAATTTTATTCCCACTTTGTCGATAAGCGAATAAAGAAATAGAACAGCTAGTTCATATCCTGGAACATAAGCATTTGATTGCCAGCATTCCAGACAAATTCAGGAGAACACACTATCTTTGTTCTGAATCACTAGAGGCTTCTTTTCACTCCATCAGTAACACTTCCCATTTGTAGGTTTAATGTAAAGTATACATAAAGGCACCAAAACCAAAAACCAAACCCGCTGCTGTCGAGTCGATTCCCACTCATAGCGACCCTGTAGGACAAGAGTAGAACTGCCCCAAGGAGTTTCCAATGGGCGGCTGGTAGATTCAAACTGCTGACCTTTTGGTTAGCAGCCACGCTCTTAGCCACTGCACCACCAGGGCTCCAGATAAAGGCACAGACGCTAGCACACCCTGCTCTAAGGCAGCAGTGTCCCCTAGTCCCATGTGGGAGATCTATCATCTGGAACCTGTAATTATGGTTGGGAGAGCATTTCAGGTAACGCTTCCCAAGGAAACGCTAAACAGCTCTTCGAGGAAGTCACTTCATTTGAATAACATTAATGGACATAAGATGTTTTGTGATAAAAATTTTGAATTCTGCACAAAAGGCATAGCTTTCTACCTTGAAGAAAAAAACTGTGATTTTTCAGGGGAAAAAGAAAATTAAAAACAAACAAAACAAACCACGGGAACCCAGAGCAGCAAATACAAAATTGAAACCAAGGCAAAGCTAGCATCACTTGGCAAAGGCCGAAATAAAGACGACGACTCCCAAAGGTCAGCTCTTCGGGGATTTTTTTTTTATAGATTATCATATGGTGAATATGCAGCCCTATTGGTGCAGCAGTTAAGAGCTCGGCTGCTAACCAAAAGGTTGGCCGTTCGAATCCACCAGTTGCTCCTTGGAAACCCTAGGGGGCAGTTCTACTCTGTCCTATAGGGTCACTATGAGTCGGAATCAACTCAACTGCAACGGGTTTTTGGGTTTTATGGTGAATATCTGAGAATTATCTAGAATTCAGCAGGGCTTCAAATGGGTTTGAAGCCCTCGAACTCAGTGAGTTGTCAGATGGATTCTTCCAGGGCTACATATGCACGCTCAGTCAGAAAGGGTGGTGTTACGCTGGCAAGCCATATCTAGAGCCTTGAAATGTTCACGCTCCTTAATTCAAGAATCTCACTTCTAAGAATTTATCATAACAAAATAATTCGACTCTATGCACCACAAGAGTCACTAAAACATTCTGTGACCCTGTAACTCAGACCTGAAGCCACTCCTGAAGGCCACCTTTCAGCCAAAGGTTCGACAGACCTGTGAAACACACGGTAACACGCGTGAGGAAAGTGCTTCTTAGTTCAGTCGAGTCGATGAGACCAAACGGGCAACACCTGCCCGAAGGCAAAGACGAGAAGGCAGGAAGCGCCAGGAAAACTGGACGAATGGACATGGGGAACCCAGGGTGGAAAGGGAAAGGGGGATTGCAACCAATGTCACAGAACAACTTGTGTATCAAGTTTTTGAATGAGAAACTAATTTGCGCTGTATAAAAAAAACACAAAAAACATTATGTGAAGGATCAGAAAACTGGAACTAACCCAAACATTCAACATCCAGTGAAGAGTGAAATAAACTGGGACACGTACACACCATGGAATATTATGTAAGAACCAAAATATCAATCTGAAGTTTCCATAAAAACACAGAAAAAGTTCATGGAAAGTAAATTTAAAAAAAAAAAAGAATATAAAATGCTTACGGATACTCGGCCTGTATCTATGCAAAATAAATTTATTCAAAGAGAAAAAAAAGACAAACTAAAAGAAAACACTCCAAAGGGGTAATAACACAGCAGCCTGATTGTAAATTATTTTTTCTTTTTAAAAGGTTTGTTTTATTAATCATGGTAATTGTAATGCTTACTAGAGGCTTTCAGTACTAACTACTTTAAATGCTGATTTTATCCTCACAACAACCCTCTGAGGCAGGTACTATTAATACTCCTGTTTTACAGAGATGAAAACCAAGGTTTAGAGAGACTGAGGTGAGGGCTGGACTCAGTCACTGAGGCTGGGACTCCGGTCTGCCTCACACCCAAGTCCAGGCCTCTGATCACTCCGTCATACTTCTGTTTACTTTTGTTTTCCCTTTAAAGAATGTACTGAGTAAAAGGAGCCCTGGTGGGGCAGTGGCTAAGAGCTCGGCTGCTAACCGAGTCCACCAGCTGCTCCTTGGAAACCCTATGGGGCAGTTCTACTCTGTCCTGTAGGGTCGCTATGAGTGGAAACCTACCTGATGGCAATAGGTTTGGTTTTTTTGGTTTTATTGTGTAAAAAACTAAGGTCACAGTAAAATTAAATGGCATTTCCTTTCAATAAACAAAGTCCTGCGACCTTAACTGGGCTGGCTATAACTCTTTTGGCAATCAGGGTGGAGGGGCGAGGAAGCCAGATGTAGGGATGGAGAAATGACTCAGGGCAGGCAGGGAGGACGGGCTTGGAAATATAGAAAGCTCCATGACCCCCACCCGCCCAGTGCCCTGCTCACGTAATTCTCCTTCTTGGCAGCCTCCTGGAGTTCCATGGCCTGCTGGATGTACATCTTCCCAGCTAAGATTTCATTTTCCAGCAACGACAGCTCTTTCAATGAAATGGGCCAATTCAACCGTTCTAGTGCCTCGTTTAAAGCTACTTTGTTTTCCAAGTACCTCATTGGTTTGTCTGCATCTAACCTAAAAAATGACAAAGAAGAAGAAAGAAAGTGTGACAATAACAGAAAAAATACGGTAAGATGGCTTCTTAGCCAACCCTCCCCTGAGAAACAGCTGTCAAAGCAGGTGCTGACAGTCAGAGTCTTGCCCACTGGTCCACTAGGACTTTGGTAGCTTGCACAAATTACTTGTAACAATCTGCTGTGAATTATGGTAGGCAATTCACCCCATTATCTCATTTGATTAACTAATTTTTTACGAGTCTGAAATGCTCGTGAATCCTTTCAACTCATTTTCCAGCATATATGGAGCTCATTTCTTTCTCCGTAGGTCTGACATGTGAAGAACCAAAAATCAGCCTCAAAGAGATTGCACACAACGATGCCTGTCAGTGACTCTGGCAAACAATACAACCCACACCACATCGCCTCAGTGCAGTCACCCTTCTTCTGGCTCGTTTTAGGTGATTTTGATCTCCTTTCTTCCTTGCAAGCCTAAATGGACCTAACTTTCTGGCTTCACTGTTTTGGTGCATGCAGAACAGAAGCCAACTTTCCAAGAGCTGATGGACCAGGCTGTGGGACTCCAGGGGCAGCCAGTGTGTGGTACGATGGCCCAGGACCTGGATTCTATTTCTAGTCCAGCTGCTTCTGAGTCACACACTTTTGGAAGAAGTCTCTGTGTGTGTGTGTGTGTGTGTGTGTGTGTGTGTGAGCGAGAGAGAGAGAGAGAGAGAGAGATAACAATTCATAATTATCATTCTTATTGCTGAAAGCATCACTTACTTCCTCTAGATGTTGGATGTTGGAAGAGTAATCCACAAACAAAGCTTGTCTCCAGAAGATGGTGAAAAATTCTTACTACAAATTTAAATTAAGTTTCCTAGGCTATGTTTTTAATCTACTCATGGTGGGAAATGTTTCTACTGTCAAATTAATAGTGTTCCAGGGGAAACGTTTTCAGGGAAATACAGGAGGTTTCCAAAGGGCTGGGGTGAAGGGAGAGGATCTCATTCATGTGCTCACCTCTCTCCTAATGTGAAAGAGCTGGGGAGTCAGGTCCAACGGCTGTTCTACGCTGGACTGTGGGCTTCGGAAAATGAATTCTACAGCTCCTTGGCTAAGTGCAGAGCCCTGCTGGCACAGTGGTTAAGTGCTATGGCTGCTGACCAAAAGGTTGGCAGTTCGAATCGATCAGCCACTCCTTGGAAACCCTATGGGGCAGTTCTGCTCTGTCCTATAGGGTTGCTATGAGTAGGAATTGACTCGATGGCAATGGGTTTGTTGTTGGTGTTGTTGTTTTTTGTTTTTGCTAAATGCAATGTCTCAGAGTTCATCTACCCCTCAAATGAGTACAGAACTAGCCTTCTAGTAATCCACTATCTAAATGAATCTTATAGTTTAAAAGTAAAATTAAATCCTTTCCCAATTTAGATAGATTTCACTATAGTTAAAAACCGTTCTTTAGAAGGCTGCAAAAAACTCCCCCCATTGCCATCGACTTGATTCAGACTCATAGTCGACCCTACAAGACAGAGTAGAACTGCCCCATAGGGTTTCCAAGCCTGTAATCTTCACAGAAGCAGACTGCCATATCTTTCTCCCTAGGAGTGGCTGGTGGGTTTGAACCACCAAACTTTTAGTTAGCAGCCCAGCACTTAACCACTGCTCCTCCAGGTCTCCTAGAGGGCTGTAAAGTACAACCAAGTAGATATTTTTCAAAGAGAAACAATCACTGTCTGATTTCAGATACAGGAAATCAATTGTTAAAACTTTTAAAAGGCATCACACGTGCCTAATGCTGCCATTTCCAATAAATAGACTTCATTCATTAATTCATTGAACAAATAATTTACTCCATGGCTGCTCTGTGCCAGGCGTGCCGCGTCCCATGAGCTGCTGGGAATTCTCTGATGATAAACAGCTACGGTCCCTGTGCTGTAAAGCTTCCGACCCAGGAGGGAGATACAATGAGCAGGAAATGAATAGTTACGGAGCATACATAATGATAGATCACGACCAGCTCTAAGAAGGAAACACACAGGTAGTACCAGGAGAGACAGGAGGAGCCGCAGGTGCGCAGGAGGACTCTGGAGAAGTGACAGTCACAGGAGCCTGCCATGCAGAGTGCGGGTGGGACATTCCAGGCAGAGGGGGCAGCATGTGTGAAACAAATGGGGGTCAAGTAAATCTAACAGTTCACACGAACAGCCATAGGGAGCTTCAGCAGCATAAGCAAATATACTACATGAAAACCTGGGAATGGTGTTAGAAGAAGGATTTTGTTATTTAAGTATCAGGAATATTACCACATGAAAACCTGGGCTTTGGGAATGGTGTTAGCAGGAGGACTTGGTTATTTAAGTGTCAGGAATATTACCACATGAAAAC